AAAAAAAAAAAAAAAAAAACAACTTAGATTTTTGACACTCCTACCTCCTGCCTCCCAGCTGCATTACACAGCTGTGTATCACTTTCCCAGGTCTGAGATCAGTTTCACATCCTCATCTGCTCCTGCAGCGACCCTGTGAACTTCACAGGGCAGATAACCAGCCATGCATTTTAGGGAACAGAATTGGAGAGATTGTGATTTATTTTGTCTAGGTGTCCACAAGAAATAGAACCGAAGGACTCTGACCTCAAGTGCAATGTTTTTCCATTATTTCCTCCTCTACTACTTTTTTTAAAATTTTTTTATTTTGAGATAAGTTCTTATAGAAAAGTTATAAGAAAAGTAGTACTCTCCTATGTACCTTTTATCCAGATTCATTAATTTTTTTAAACATTTTGCCACATTAGCTTTTTTATTCTTTCCCTCTCTCCCAGGCATATACATTTATTTTCTGAAGCATTCGAGCATAAGTTGCACACATCATGTCCCTTTGCCTTTTTTTCCAAACTTTTAATTAATTAATTTATTTTTTCAAGGCAGGGTCTTGCTCTGTCACCCAGGCAGGAGTGCAGTGTCACAGTCATAGCTCACTGCAGCCTCAAATGCCTGGACTCAAGTGATCCTCCTGCCTCAGCCTCCCAAGGAGCTAGGACTACAGGTGCACACCACCATGCCTGGCTCTTTTTTAAAAAAATTTTTTGTAGAGACAGGGTCTAGCTATGTTGCTCAGGCTGGTTTTGAATTCCTGGCCTCAAGCGATCCTCCTACCTTGGACTTCCAAAGGGCTAGGATTACAGGTGTGAGCCAGCGCACCCAGCCCCCTTTGCCTCTTTATATATCATTTTTCATTTCCTAAGAAAAAAAGTGTTCTCTTAGATCATCACAGTTCAACCATCAACTTCCATGCTTTCATTTTTAATCTACAGCTCACTTTCAGTTTTGTCAATTGTCCAATTAATGTCCTTGGTGACGTTTTCTCTTCCTCTAGGACAGGATCCAGTCTAAAATCACATATTGCATTTAGTTGATGTGTCTTTTTAGTCTCCTTTAATCTGGAACAATTTCTCACCCTCCTTTGTCTTTCATGACATTGATGCTTTTAAGGAATGTTCCTCGGTTTGAGTTCGTCTTACATACTCATGATGAGACTCAAGTGACCCAGCCCTGGCCAGAATATTCTTTCTTCTCCGGCTAGCACATCATAGGTGGACATGGTATCCATCTGCCTTTTACTGGTGATAGTAATTTTGATTATCTTGTTCAAATATTGTCTGGTCTCCCCACTGTATAATGGCAGTCTTTAAGTAATGTGGGGGATTCCTTGAACATGCAAATGTCCTCCTTCTGATAAGACTTACCCTTCTGTATTTCAAGTTTGTGGATGACTCTTGGCCCAAACAAGCCTTGACAATATGTGGTTGCAAAGTAATAATTTTTAAGTCTCCCACTCATTCATTTTTATCAGTCTACATTTTATTGTATAGAAGCACCCTCCTTTCTCTTCCATCTATTTATTTATTTACTTTTTAAAAATTATCAAAATAGACTCATGGATTTCAGTTTTATTTAATGGGATATAATATATTACTGTCACTTATTTTGTGTTCAGTTGTCTCAGATTTGGTCTGTGGGAGCCCCTTCAAGCTGATTTTCAAGGCTTATCTTCAAAGTTATTCTCCTGTTTTCTTCTAGAAAGGTTACAGTTTTAGCTCTTACATTTAGTCTATGATACACTGGAAGATAATTTTTTTTTTTTTTTTAAGAGACGGTCTTGCTCTGTCACTCTGGCTGGAGTGCAGTGTTACAATCATAGCTCACTGAGGCCTGGAACTCCTGGGCTCAAGCGATCCTTCTGCCTCAGCCTCCTGAGTAGCTGGGACTACAGGCGTATACCACCACACCTGGCTAATTAAAAAAAATGTTTTTTGTAGAGACAGGCTTACCCAGGCTGGTCTCAAACTCCTGGCCTCAAGTAATCCTCCCACCTTGGCCTTCCAAAGTCCTAGAATTACAGATATGAGCCACTGTGCCTGGCCTATGGAAGATAATTTTCATGGATGGTGTTGGAATATAGGGCTCAGAGACATGAAAGTTTTCAGGAGTTTTGCAGGGCTTTGCCTTGAAAGAATCTGTGAACGTGTTAGTTCACAGACCAGAAGCTGCCTAGCAACAAGGAGGGCATCTTACCAATCAGAGGTGAATGCAAATTGCGTCTGTCTCAAGACCTGCAGGCCAGTGCCTGATGCTTGTGTAAGACAGAGCTCAGCATGAGGTCACAGGTTAAGGCCTGATCAAAGAATGTCAGCCCAGCAGACACCTGCAGCTAAAACCAATTAGCCTCAAGGACAGTTCCTGCTTCACTTCTGACCACATATCTCAGTTAATGAGAAACTAGATAAAGAAATATATGATCTCTATATTTCTGTTTTAGCTTTTCTGCTAATTGGCAATTTTATCTTTAACTTGTATACTCAGCTAGGTCTGAGTATAGTATACTAGTCTGAGCTAATATTCTTAACTTAGGGCTTAGAAGTTTATCTTAGAAAAATTTTGTAACCGTTTGCTCACATAGATAGAATTAATTAAGGGATCTCTAGAAACTTTTGGGGAGCCTTAAAACCTAAATGAATGATCTGTACACATAAATCTGTAACCACAAACAGCTAATTGCTGTACCAATAAATACTGAAGCGGGGTTTAACTCAGGGCCTCACAGCTCACAGGAATGAGGACCCCTGACTGTCCCATCACTTTAAACTACACTTTGTCTCTGTCTCTATTATTTCCAAATATTGTGATGATTCTGCCTGGGACCTGTTTTGCTGGGAGAGTACCTAACACCCAGCATGGTGTGAGATAGATGTTCACTTTTTCCTTATGGTTATCTAGTTATCTAGCCTACTTTGTTCAAAAGTCTTTCTTATCATAATTGAATTACCTTGGCTCCTTTTTGAAAATCAGGTGACCGTTTTTGTGTTGGTCTATTTCTGGATGCTCTGTTTTAGTTCTTGATTTATATCTTTTTATGATAACAAACTGTCTTCATTAATGTCACTTTAGTAAGTCTTGAAATCAGATAGGATGAGTTCTCCAACTTTGTTTTTCTTTATGAAAATCTCTTTATTTTAGGCAATTTGCACTTATATTATATTTGCATTTTAGAAATTTCTCCAAAGAACAAGTACTGAGATTTTTTTATCGGGTTATTGTATTGACTGTATTTGGGGGAATTGCCATCTTAACAATAGAGAGTTCCCCAATTCATGAATATGGTATGTCTCTGTTTATTTAGGTCTTCTTTAATCTCAGTGATTTGTATTTTTTCAGTATGGAGATCTTGGATGTTTTTTGTGAGATTTATTCCTAAGAGTTTTATGTTTTTCAGCACTGTTAAAATGGAAGTTTTTAAAAAAATTGTATTTTCCAATTATTTACTGCTCATATACAATTGCTTTTTACACATTAACCTTGTATCGTTGCTAACTTCACGTACTGATTTTGGTTCTTGTTTTGCAAACTCCCTCGGATTTTCTATGTAAATAATAGTATCATCTGCAATTAGGGTCAGCTTTACTTCTTCCTTTCTGAACTTTATGCCATTTATTTCTTTTTCTTGCCTTGTTACAATGGTTAGGACCTTCAGTACTACCTTGAATATAAGTGTTAACGTGAGCATCTTAGTCTTATTCCTGATGTTAGGAAAGACAATTCACTCATTCACTATGAAGAATGATAGAGTTTTTTGTAGATGCCTTTTATCAGATTCAGGAAATTCTCTTCTGTTCCTGGTTTTCTGAGAGTTTCATTTTATCCTGAATGGGTGTTGAATTTTGTCAAATGCTTTTTCTGCATCTGTTTAATTGATCATATTGTTTTTCTCTTTTATTGTGTTTATGGTGTATTATGTTGATTGCTTTTTTAATATGAATCCAATCTTATATTTCTGGGGTAAACTCTACGTGGTCACGATGATTCCTTTTATATATTTTTGCAAACAGTGTTGTTAAGGATTTTAGCATCTATATTCAAGTGGAATATTGGTCTGTAATTTTCTTTGTTGTAGTGTCTTTGTCAGGTTTTGATATTAGGGTTATAGTGGACTCATGAGATGAGTCGGGCATGTTCCCTTCACTATTTTTTTTTAATTTGTATAATATTTTCATTATTTCTTACTTGAATATTTGATAAAATTCACCAGTGAAACTCTTTGGGCCTGGAGTTTTCCTTTGGGGAAGATTTTTTTAAATGTATGTTATTTCCTTAGTAGATACAGATAGGGAATTTAAATTTTCTATTTCTTTTTGTGTCAATTTTGTTAAATTATATTTTTCTTTTTTTGATAATTATTTCATTTTATTTTATCTTTATTTATTCATTTATTTTAGAGATAGGGTCTTGCTCTTGCTCAGGCTGGTCTTGAACTACTGACCTCAAGTGATCCTCCTGCCTCGGCCTCCTAGAGTGCTAGGATCACAGGTGCGAGCCACCGCACCTGGCCTAATTTATGTTTTTCAATAACTTTTTAAAAAATGGCTTCCTCCTTTATATTTTAAATTTGTCCATTTTATCTAAGTTGTCAAATTGTTGGTATAAATTTGTTCATGTCATTCTCTTATCCTTTTTACTATTTGTAATATGTGTGGTGGGAATCCCCTTTTCATTCCTAATGTTAGTGATTTGTGGTCTCTCTTTTTTTGTTGTTCCTTGATTTATCTAGGTAGAACTTTGTCCATTTTGTTGATCTTTTCAAAGGACCAGCTTTTGGCTTTGTTAGTATTTTTTATTACCTGTCTGTTTCTATTTCATTGGTTTCTGTGGTCTCATTGGTTTCTGGTTTCATATTTACTATTGTCTTCTTTCTACTTACTTTAAATTTACTTTGCTTTTTTTTTTTTTCCTAATTTCTTAAGGTGGAAACTTTGATCATTGATTTTATAACTTTTCTTCCCTCTGATATAAGCATTTAAAGTTATATGTGTTCCTTTAAGCATTGCTTTAGCTGCATTCTGCAAATTTTGGTATGTTGTGTTTTTATTATCATTCCATTCAGAATATTTTCTAATTCTCATGTGACTTCTTTTTTGATCGTGAAATATTTAAAAGTGTTTTAATTTCCAAATAGGTGAGTTTTCTAGCTATCTTATTGATTTCTAAACTAATTCCCTTCTGGTCAGAAAATATGCTCTGTCGTTGTAGCCCTTTTATATTGAGACTTATTTTGTGGCCCAAGAAATAATCTATTTTAGTAAATGTGCCCTGTAAACTTGAAAATCTTGTATGTTTTATAGTTCTTAGATGTACTGTTTTATAGATTTCAATTAGATCAAGGTGGTTAGTAGTACTTTTATAACCTTCTGTCTTACTGTTGTGTTTGTTTTTCTAGTTCCATCACTGCTGAGATAGAGATATGAAAATTTTCTACTATGATTGTAGAATTGTCTGTTTCTCTTTTTAATTTTGATATAATTACTGTATTTTGGTTCTGTTATGGGCACATACACACGGATAAATGCTGTTTTCCTGATGAAATGTCCTTTTATTGTTACGTAGTAATGATATAATGAAAACACTACTAAATAATACTATAATTTTACTTTAAAGAGTCACACATATCCTAAAGAATGTATGAGGAAAACAGTCTTTGTGTACTGACTTTCTGATGCTCATCCTAGAGATCCGCATTTTCCTCTAGCCGTTCTTGTACTGCAGGTCTACCTGTGATGAATTCTGCTAGTTTTTTCTTTCTCTGAAGATATCCTTATTTCACTGTCATTCCTGAAGGATATTTTCTCTGGATGTAGAATTCTGGGGAGAATCTCTGTACACCTTCAGTAGTATCTTTTGGCTTCCATATTGCAGAGGAGAAAGTCACGGTTATTTAAATTGCTGCTGCCCTGTATGTAATGTGTCATTTTTCTAGCTGCTTTAAGATTTTTTTTTCTTTATCATTGGTTATCAGCAGTTTGACTATGATATGTCTAGGTTGGTTTTCTTTGAATTTATCTTGTTTGAGGTTCACTGAGCTGCTTGAATCTGTACATTTATGTCACCACATTTGGGAAGTTTTCTGTCATTGTCTCTCTCTTTTTTTTTTTATTTTTTTATCTTTTGGAGACAGGGTCTCACTCTCTCTCCCCAGCTAGAGTGCAGTGGTGTCATCATAGCTCACTGCAGCCTCCAACTCCTGAGCTCAAGTGATTCTCTTGCCTCAGCCTCCCAAGTAGCTGTACTACAGGCGAGTGCCAGCACGCCCAGCTAATTTTTCTGTTTTTTGTAGAAACAGGGTCTTGCTCTTGCTCAGGCTGATCTTGAACTCCTGGCCTCAAACAGTCTTCCTGCCTTTGCCTTCCAGAGTGCCAGAATTACAGATGTGAGCCACTGCACCCGGCCTCATTGTGTCTTTAAATACTTTTTGCCTCAGTTTCTCTCTCTCTCTCTCTCTCTCACTCTCTCCCTCTCTCCCTCTGTCTGGGATTCCCGTTACACATACACCAACCTTTGGTTCCATAGGTCCATGAGTCTCTGTTCATTTTTATTCAGTCTTTTTCCCCTTTGTTCTTCAAGTTAGCTCATTTCTATTGGTCTGTCTTCAAGTTAGCTGTCATTTCCTTCTGCCTTACTTTCTCTTCTATGAAGTCTATCTAGTGAATATTGTATATAAGGTACTGTATTTTTCACTTGTAAAATTTCCGTTTGATTCTCTTTATATTTTCTCTTTGTCTACTGAGATACTCATCTTCTCATTTATTTCAGGTGTATTTTTCTTGATCTCTTAGAGCAGAGTTAAAATAGCACTCTAAGGTCCTTACATGATCATTCCAACATGTGGGTCATCTTAGAGTTGACATCTGATACATTCTCCTGGTGCTTTTATTAATTGATTTTGGAGTTTAACTTGGACATTATGAATACAGTAGTGCTCCCCTTATATGTGGGGGATCCATTCCAAGACCCCCAGTGGATGCCTGAAACCATGAGGTACCAAATCCTATACATATACTATGTTTTTTCCTATACAAATGTACCTATCAGAAAGTTTAATTTATAAATTAGGCATGCTGAGAGTAAACAATAATAATAAATAGAACAATTATAACAATATACTGTAATAAAAGTTACGTGAATGTGGGTTCTGTCTTTCTCAGAATATCTATTATACTGTACTACAGGTAACTGAACCCACAGAAAGCAAAGCCACAGATAAGGGGGGGCGCTGTAGTCTCTTTCTTATGTCAGCTCTGGGATCTTTTCTGTAGCTCTCAGGCAGGCAGTCGCCCAGCTGTCTTGGGACAGCAGACTCTGTTTTGCTTCTGCCAGTTTAGATCTCAGGTCTGTGTTTGAGCCTTCCCTACACTGTTTTGAGCCCACCCTGCATGTGCACGTCTGGGTGGGCTGAGGCCCGTGCGGTTCACATGCAGAACTGGAGGACCCTGCTCTGGTCTCGCCCACCAGGCTCTGCCTGCAGTCCCTGCTGGCCTGGGCCTTCCAGGTTCCTCCAGGCAGGATGCAGCAGCGTTCCCTTTAAGGATCTCAGTCACTCGAGCTGCCACCCACCTCAGAGCTGCAGTCACCCTCGTGACAGATGGTGAAGAGAAGAAATAAGAAACTCATCCCCAACAGCAGACCCTTCTCCCACTTTTCATTTCCCCGCACAGTCTGCCGTCTTTTATTTACCCTCAGAGTTCTCGGGAGTTTTATTAATAGTTTGTATTTACCTGGAGTCTCTGGTTGTCATCCACAGAGGGCTGAGCCACAGGGGCTCACAGGGCCACGCCAGAGCCAGATTCTGTTGTTTCGAGAAAAGAAGGTTCTTTTCCTGGCTCTGTGCTCCTTGATTTGATGCAAGAACATGTCCTTCTCTCCCTTTGTTTGACTTGTTCCCTCTGCATGGGACTCCGTCACCAGCTCTGCTCCTGAAATTGAGTGTGTTCCTCACAGCCCAGGGGGGTCCCGTGCATTGCGTGACTAGGTGTCCACCTCCGCTGCTGCCTACTTCTGCCCTTTCTGAGGTCACACTGGCAGGGACATTTATGGATTCATTATTCATCATATTCTTCAAATATTAATCAAGTACCGTTTTGTACCACATTTTTTTTTAGAGGCAGGGTCTTGCTCTGTCGCCCAGGCTGAAGTGCAGTGGTGTCATTGTAGCTCACTGTAACCTCAGACTCCTGGGCTCAAGTAATCCTCCTGCCCCAGTCTCCCAAGTGTCTGGGACTGTAGGCACATACCACCATACCCGCCTAATTTTTCTATTTTTGTCAAGACGGGGTCTTGCTGTGTTGCTCAGGCTAGTCTTAAACTCCTGGCCTCAAGCCTCCCAAAGTGCTGGGACTACAGATGTGAGCCACTGTGCCTGGCCTGTACCACTTTTACCTGTGTAATCTTATGATTAAAAATAGTGAAAGCTTAAGAACAGTAGCAGCTTTTGGGGGAGGCAGTGCATATTGGTTTGGGGTGAGAAGTATAGAGTGAAAAGAAAAAAGAAACAAAAGAGATGTGAGGCATGCTGGTTTATCTGGCCACAGTACTTCTAGGAAAATTAGAAGTCAGTCCCTGGATGAACAATAGAAATTTACTTGATTATTGTTTAGGGATGGATTGTATATGTTAAGGCCCTTTGTCAGTGATGCTATTATTAATGAAAATAAAATACTTGAAGTCATATGTGTAAATTATGATAGAAATAAAAATAATTTTATAACAGCCCAGCATTATCTTTTAAAGTCCTCAGTGACTGTTTATAGCCTGTTTGCAGCTTTACGTTTTTCACCTTTGGGCGTGTGGCCTAGATTGAAGACCAAAGGAGAAAAATGGCTTTTGGCTCAACACAGGGTGTGTCACCGTTCATCAAGCAGGAAAATTGAGAGTTTGAATGCTTTGTTTTCTGGAAGTGGAAGTGCTAACTGATAATTGCAAAATTCCGTTGAAGTATTTTTGGTGATCTTTTAAAGAGTTGATTTATTAAAGGGGAGAGTGTATATTTATGGCTTAAATATGAGCAACAATGTATTAACTGTGGGGTTTCTCTCTGTACCTGCTATCCAGTAGATTCCTGTTTGTCAAAGCTTTCTTTCATGAGTCTCTGACATTAAGCCTCCTTTTTCTTTGTTTGGTGTAGATGTTTCTTTCTTAGCAAAATAGAGGAGAAGCTGCCTGCTCTTCCAGACGATCCCAGCATGAACGTGGATGGAGACGGAGACGCCAGGGACGGGAGGGACGCACCCGAGCAGGAAGAAAGTGTCAGCTCCCTGATCAGAAGCTGCAAGTTCTCCATGAAGATGGAGATGGTAGAAAGTGCGAGGAAGCAGGTCGGCACTCACGTCTGCATCTCCGTTCCATCTCAGATCTTCCCAAGTTAGCATCTTTCCTAACTTAGCTTTTCTTTAAAATCTGAAGCTTAAAAATAATTGAGTAGATAGTGTTTTCTTTCTCTTTGTAAGAAAGTAAACTTGAAGAAACACTTACTTAAAATTAACCAGAACAGCCTCTAAAGTTTATTATATGCCTGTTGATCATTTCAATATGCTTAGTGTCTATTATTTGAAAAGCAAATAAACCTAATGTGAAATTTGATCTCATTTAACAAAATGAATCCTTGGCAATTAGTTACAAATTATTTTTAGGTTTAGTTTGTGGAAATCTATCATTTAATAATGAGGTCCTTTCTTGATATTAAGTATACTATGCTTGAAAGTATTATCTATTATCTATTTGGATGTATTAAATCATATTTGAATATACCAGGGGGGCTTGCTATTTTAATGACCCTATATTGATTGCTATTGCAAAGCAAAGGATGTTATTCTAGTAGAAATAATTAATATTTCTGCTTTGTAGGTTTAAATGCTCACTTACAGATTTTTCTTTGGGTGGATGTCGTATCAGTCAGAAATTTTTATATTGCAAAGTACAGAAAACCCAACCCAGAGCAGCACCAGAGAGTAGAGGTGCAGTTCCCGAGAGAGGGAGCAGGTTAGGAGGCAGGCAGAGCACAGATCAGGTGAGAAGGAGCAGGGTGTGGGCAGAAGGGGCGATTTGAGCTTAAGAGTTTTGTGGTGAGGCAGTCTGGGGTCATGATAAGGTAGAAACACGGTCCCTGCCCTCACAGTCACTGTCTAGTGAGAGAGTGGGTGGTAGGGGCTGCACACATGACCACAGCAGCCCAGGCAGGTGAAGAAAGGAGATATCAGCAAAGCCAGGAGAGCGCAGGAAGAAGAGAGCTTCTGCCTCAGGCAAGGAGGCTTCTGGGGAAGGGGCAGTTGATCTAGGGTGTGCTTTATGGGAACGGAAGGGTTTGGATGTGGAGAGGAGAGAAAAGTATTCCAGATGTTAAGAAAAATGCACACAAAAACATGAAAGTAAGGTGCTGGGAAGGGCACAGTCTGCTCCCTCAAAGGGTTGCGGGGCCTCTTGATGGTGGATTTGCAAGGGTCATGTCGCACTCAGGCTTCCGCGGACAGCTGGAGACCGCGTGCTGCAGGGATTAGGGAACCATGGAAGGCTCTCGAAGCATGCTGGTCCACTGGAGGATTGGCTGCTCAGGGGAAAGCAGAGGCAGAGAGAGACTGGGACGGCCGCGTAGGGAGGCGGGGTGGAGCTGGGCAGAGCATGAGAGACTCTGTGTGGGGATACGGGAGGCCCTGTGTGTTGGGGATGACAAGAGGGCGAGGCTGCAGTCAACGTGGATGGTTGAAAGGGCAGTAATTAGGAAGACTGAGGTCCGATGAAAATTTCTCTTGAAACTTGGGAGAGAATTAGAGTATACGTACACGATTTAAAAGACACGCACAAGACAAGCAACTAAATAAAAAGTAGGTCAGTTCTTCATCAGAGTTAAAAACTTTTGTGTCTCAAATGACATACTGAAGAAAGTGAAAAGACAATCCAAATAACGGGAGAAGATATTTGCAGATCATGTATCTGATAAGGGCTGGTATCCAGAATATATAAAGAACGCCTTACAAACTGAACAACAGAAAGCCAAATGACCCGATCAAACTTTTGAGTAGACATTTCTCCGGACAATATATGCAAATGGCCAGCAGCACATGAAGAGTTGTTCAACATCACTAGTCATCAGGGAATGCAGAGCAAAGCCACAGTGAGATACCACTTTGTACCCACTAGATGGCTAGAATCAAACAGATGGATGGTATCAGGTGTGGGTGAGGCTGTGGGGAAACTGGAACCCTTGTGCGTTGCTGGTGGGAATGCAAAGTGGTGCATCTGCTGAGGGAACAGTCTGGCAGCTCCTCAGAAAGTTAAACACAGAGTCGCCGTATGACCCCACAGTCCCACTGCTAGGTATAGACCCGAGAATAGCGAAAGCACACAGCCACGCAGAAATCTACACAGGCCTATCCACAGTAGCATTACCTAAAGTAGCTGGAAGGGTGGAAACAACCTGAATGCTCACCAGTAGGTGGACAGAACACCGTGGTGTATCCAGGCAGTGGAATATTACTTAGCCTCAAAGAGGAACGAAGCACCTATATCTGCTATAGCTGGGACGAGCCTGGGAAGCATCATGCTGAGGGAAAGAAGCAGACACAAGATCGCCACCTGTTTTGTGATGCTGCTGTTCCCAGATGTCCAGAGTAAGCACACTGGGGGAGACAGAAGGTAGATTAGTGGTTGCCAATCCCTAGGCAGAAAGAGAAGTGACTGTTCATGGGCAAAGGGTTTCTCTTTGGAGTAATGAAAACGTTCTGGAATTAATGGGTAGTGGTTTTTGCCAAATTTTGTAAATATACTAAAAATACTGAATTTGCTCTTTAAATGTGAATTATATCCCAATGATAAATAAAAAGATATCTGCACAATTGAAGCTAAGGAGATGAGCCCGGCTGTCCCAAGGCAGTTGTGTCATACATAGGGAAGGTGGGTCAGTGAACACCTTCTTTGTGAAACAGTTTTATTTCTAAACTGTTACCTATATATCGGCATACCACTTTCTCTTTTTCTTCTGTTAATACAGAACAATTTCTCACTTGCCATGAAACTGTTGAAGGAATTGTACAAAGAGTCGAAAACGCGAGAGGAGTGGCTGGTAAGGTGGGTGCAGAGTTACTGCCGCCTGAGCCAGGGCCGGAGCCGGGCCCAGCACCGCCGCGAGCAGATCCTCACCATGCTGAAGACAGTCTCTTTGTTGGGTAATTAGACTGCCATCATCCACACTCTCTAGAATGCTGTTTTATGTGGTGTCTTGTGTGTCTTCTAAAACTATTCTTTGTCTTAGAAAGAAAGACGTTAGGTAAATCTTTGTAGGGAGGTAAATCTGGCTTTAGGATGGTAAATCTTTGTAGTAATTTTAGTAAATTAGCAAAGTGTGCCATAGAGAATGATGCGATTTCCCTGGGAACAGAGCAAAGCATGGGGAATCCTTTGTGTTCTAATCATGCTCTCGAATATGACATTGGAGCTTTTATTTCTTTGCCTATAAAATAAAATGGAAATTAAAGTTTTTCTCTTTAATACTTAACCAAATTATGGGTCTAATAGTTTAATTAGTTTGAAAACTCTAAGCTTGCATCTAAGATGTAAGAAATTAAACAAGAAAAGCTGTTGTACTCCTTAGTTCTTCTCTTTTCACAATAATGAAGACCTTAAGACTGAGGGAGAAGTGCTTTTCCAGACGTGGGTCCTCCTGCCTGCTGCTCCTTGTCAGGCGTGGTGGTGGTAGAGTGGCCACACACATTCCCACCGTCGTCCCAGAGGGCTCTCCAGCAAGACAGAGCATAGGGCTGGAGTAGCAGCCTTAGTAAAGATGCCAAGAGACGAAGCAGTCTTTGCATACTGATTCCAGGATCAGCTGGTACAGTGGTGCGCATGCCTATAGACCCACCTACTGGGGTGGCTGAGGCAGGAGGATCACTTGAGCCGGGAGTTCAAGGCTGCAGTGAGCTGTGACCATGCCACTGCACTCCAGCCTGGACAACACAGGAGACCCTGTCTAAAAAAGAGAAGGAGGAGAAGGAGGTCATTCTTAGTTTGCTTAAATAATTTTATAGGGGATTCTTTGGTGGGAAGGAAGAGTTTGCTGATATTAAGATAATGTTGGTACGATAATAAGAATAATTTACAGTTAGAGTATGGTTGTAGTTTGTAACAGCCTGGCGAGATAAGCAGGGCCAGTAGCTGTGGTCCTGTATCTGACACAGCTCTGGCAGAGGACTGTCAGACCCCGGACAAGCAGGATGTGAGGTTAGCCAAGTGTGCTAGTTCTTCACACATCATCGCACCTCTGGATGCTGCAGGTTTGACCAGGGCTGGTTAAGCTCCTTGTCCAGATCCACACGTTAAGAAGTGGAACTAGAACTTCAAATGTAGCTGTGTCTGTTGCTTTATCAGCAATAGGCCCCGGTGTCAGTTGTAAAATCTACTCTGAGTTATTAATGTATATGCACCAAGGCATTAATAAGAGCCATTTTTTATTCTTTGCAACAGATGGAATTAGGTGCTTTAAAAAAATGCAGGATGATGATGCTTGAATAAAAAGTTAATTCATAGTTTTAATTGCTAAGCCTCCATGGACTTTGATACAGTTACTTCTAACATTTTTATATTAATAAATGAGTTTAAGAAATTCCCTAGCCAATATTTGAAGTCAGTTTCCTTTGAAGATTTATTTTAATTAATTTCTTAATAGAAAACAACTTTTGTACACTATGAATTTCTTCTTTTAATTTCAGGAAAAAATTATGTTGCCTTTTTTTTTTTTTTTTTTTTTTTCAATCTAACAGATGAGAACAACACCTTAAGCTACTTAAGCAAAAACATTCTGGCTTTCCGTGATCAGAACATTCTCTTGGGCACAGCTTGCAGGATCATAGCTGATGCTCTCAGCAGTGAGCCAGCCTGCCTCACTGGAATCGAGGACAGCAAGGCTAGAAGAATTCTGGAGCTCTCTGGATCCAGTTCACAGGATGCAGAGAAGGTAATGAATACTGGAAGCATGAACATTTTATGTTTGTGTGCTGTGTGTGTCTTTAATGTGTAGCCTTCAGGCTATAGGAAAGTAATAATTAGGGTATCACTTTGTGTTTTTAAAATATATTTGATAGTGCACCACCAAGTTTCTTATGTGGAAAATTGACATACTCCATGTGTTTCCTGTTTATTCAAATGATAGAAATTTTTTAGTATTAAAAATGAGAAATTTCTAATTTTCATTGGATTGATGTGGACAGTTCTTTCATGAATTTTGTTAATGAAATTTCACCATCAGTTGCCATTCAGACGTCCCATTCAGCTTATGGGACGAATCAGCCCTTCTGCTTGTTTATTTGGTACCTGCTGTGCTTAGCTTTTTTCAGATTATTTTGTATTTTTGATGGTTACCTGTTTCTTCCTCATCTCACTGCGTCTGGCCTGGTCTTCTCCTTGTGTGATGTTGCCGTCTGCGCAGGACGTGGAGCATGAGGAGCCACTTCCACCTGTCCCCAGCTCCTGGCAGAGCCGTGTAGCCCCTGGTGACCTGGTCTGGCTCTGTGCGGCTCGTGGACTGTCTGGCCCACCCTTGGCTTACTTCTTTCTGTTTGGCTGGTTGTTACGTGCTCAGGATCTTGCTGGAATTGCTTACTCCTTCACAAGCAGGGCAGGCTCCTCTTTTTCCAGTTAACTCATTTTCAGTGTTATTTTGGAGATGTGGATCCCTGTATACCTCATGAATGACGCGTGGAAAGTAGAGTTCTTTGAGGTAGCTTCAGTTGCACTCACAGGTTTCCTGAGGTCTCTGTGAATTCCAGGTGATTGCGGGTCTGTACCAGAGAGCGTTCCATCACCTCTCCAAGGCTGTGCAGACGGCTGAGGAGGCCCAGCCTTCCTCCTGGGGCCCTGGGCCTGCAGCCGGGGTGGTCGATGCCTACATGACACTGGTGGATTTCTGTGACCAACAGCTCCGCAAGGAGGAAGAGAATCCGTCAGGTGAATTGCGAAAGATAAAAGCAAGTTAGTATTCCTTTATGTCAGCGTAAAGTCCTAAGAATTTGTAGATACTTTTGATTTCCTATTTGTTTTCAAATAACAAATGTTTTGAGAAAAATCTGTTGTCTTTTGAAGAGACAATGGCATCTCCAAGCAACATGAGCTGCACTTGAATGGAGTCAAGCTGTCTCCTCCATTTCCGTTTGCTTAATTTATACTTCCGTATTTTGCTTGCAGCTTCGTTATCATTGACTCGCGTGGCAGCCTCTTGCTCCTGGAGTCAATTCAGTAACCAGCAGCTGCCCTGTATGTTTGCAGCCCAGGATGCAAACGGTGCCTTGTGCAGAATGGGCACTCTGGCGGAAGGTGCTGCTTCAGAGTACAAATGCAAAACACGTCTGGTTGTGTTGACCTGAAGTGGTGGTTAGAAAGAGAACAATGACATACTACAAAATATAAGCCAAAAGGAAACATCATCATTTGTTAAACTTAATGCTTTCTGTGTAAGTGGAGATACTGACTATTGCTTTCTCATTTGCTGTCCTCAATAGTTACTGGCTCTGTAGAAGCACGGGCATATCCAGCACTTGTGGTGGAGAAAATGTTGAAAGCTTTAAAATTAAATTCCAATGAAGCCAGGATGAAGTTTCCTAGATTACTTCAGATTATAGAACAGTATCCAGAAGAGACCTTGAGCCTAATGACAAAAGAGGTTGGTATTTTTATTCCAGTGAGTGGAAAGGAACTTCACAGAACTTACAAACCTTCCATGCACACGTGCTTGTGTGTGCAATGCATATTATGGCTTTTCCCAAGCAGCACTGAGTCCTGCTACCGTCTAAGAGCATAGGTAACCAAAAACAGGATAAAAGAGTGTTCACATTTACCCATTCTCCTCTGCGGGTGTTGGTGAGAACACTGTCTAAACAAGGACCCCAAAGTGGAGGCGGGTGTGAGTGGGACGAAGACGGGTCTGTGTGGAGCAGTTTGCTGCCCGTGCACACTGAGCTGTGGTCTGCGACGTCTGCTGGTGCCTCACGCTCAGGCTGGCGTTTAGCCCAGGGAGCATGAGTGGCTTCAGCTCTACCTCCCGGCCAGTATAGTGCCCGCCGGCAGCCCTGTGGCTACAGGTATGGGACCAGCCCACACCCTCCACACGGCCTGCCCCTGGCCCACCCAGGGCTGCCCCGCCAGCTGCGCTCCTGTCCTTGGGGCTCAGTCTGTGTCTGGAAGGGCTCCAGGGATTTCATCTGCGCAAGGGTAGGGCCGTCCGAAAGGCTCCTGAACTGACTCTTGTAGATATGTAACTGGAAAATAGGGCCAATTTGAGTTGAGAATGTAAGAGTGCAGAAAGGGTCACATGGTACTCTATTAGCTTCACACAGTCAGTTTGTAAACAGTGCTGGTCCCTGAGCTGTGGGGACCCAGTGTGACTGTCAGGGTCCACTGCATGGATTTTGAAAGGTGGGCATTTTAATAGGTCTTAAACAGGAGGTTAAAGTAAATTCAGAAATGCAGCATCTATGTGTTTTTCTTAAAGATAAGTGAGCAAATAGTTAAATAACTTCATTATGATTTTGGTTTTTTCCAAAATAATATTTTATTGATATATGATAAAAATAAGACTTTGAATTTGTGAGGAAATAAATGGAGTATTCAGTCAATGTTGTCATTATACCTGGTGGATGCCTGTGGCAGTCAGCCAGCCTCAGTCTGCACTCACCTACGCAGTGTGGGCTGACTCATCTCATCCTCACTCCTGCTGCTGTCCTCAGCTCCTAGATCAGGTAGGAAGCTTGCCGTGCTCACGCTGGCATTCCAGGGACATCAGATCTTATTTTTAAAATAACACCTTAAAGGCTGGTGTGGTGGCTCACGCCTGTAATCCTAGCACTCTGGGAGGCTGAGGCGGGAAGATTGTTTGAGCTCAGGAGTTCGAGACCAGCCTGAGCAAGAGCAAGACCCCGTCTCTACCAAATATATAAAAATTAGCCAGGCGTGGTGGTGCGTGCCTGTAGTCCCAGCTACTCGGGAGGCTAAGGCAGGAGGATCGCTTGAGCCCAGGAGTTTGAGGTTGCTGTGAGCTAGGGTGTTGCCACAGCACTCTAGCCCGGGCAAGAGAGTGAGACTCTGTCTCAAAAAAAAAAAAAAATAACACTTAAAAGTATTATAGGAAACATGAACACATTTTTTAAATGGTCTTAGAGACAAAAACCAGAAGTCATGAAGGAAAATAATTTGACACTTCTATGTAGAAAAAGAAAATGCTGGACCCTGCGCGGTGGCAGTGCCTGTGATGCCGGCACTCTGGGAGGCCCAGGCGGGAGGATCGTGAGAGCGCAGGAGTTGGAGGCTGCAGTGAGCTATGATGATGTCACTGCACTCTAGCTGGGGTGACAGAGTGAGAACCTGTCTCAAAAAAAGAAAATACCATATAAAAACTTAAAAAAAAAAAAACTGGAAAAAAATATTTGCAACACAGAGAGCTGACATCTCCAACCTATAAAGGAAACAGTCAGAAGAAATGCAAGCGTGGTTAAAGTACGTAAGGCAAATAAACACAGAATGTTCCACCTCACTAATAATGAAACGTGAACATTTAAATTGGACGTTTTTCACTTAGACGATGATTTCAAAAGTACATTGTGTCCAGTGTTGATAAGGATTTTAGAAAGTTGTCAGTCTAATGCTTTTAGCAATGAAAAGTTGAAAAATCTTTTTGGAAATAAATCTAGCAATGTTTTTTACAGTTGTTATAATGTGAATCATTGTTAAGGTTCACACTATAATTTTAGTTCTAGGTATTTATCCTACAGGTATATAGCACGAGTACAAGGGTCATGTGTATAGGAATGTCCACTGCAGCATTACTTGTCATAGCAAACAATTGGAAAATGCCCTAAATATTCATTATAGAGCAGTAGTTAAATAAAATGGTATACTACACAGCTGTTAAAAAGAATGGGATAGGCTGGATGCCGTGGCTCACGCCTGTAATCCTAGCACTCTGGGAGGCCGAGTGGGAGGATTGCTTGAGGTCAGAAGTTCGAGACCAGCCTGAGCAAGAGTGAGACCCCCGTCTCTACTAAAAATAGAAAAAAAATTAGCTGGGCATGGTGGCACATGCCTGTAGTCCCACCTACCCTGGAGGCTGAGGCAGAAGGATTGCTTGAGCCCAGGAGTTTGAGGTTGCTGGAGCTAGGCTGATGCCAGGGCACTCTAGCCTGGGAAACAGAGTG